GTCATATCATGCAGAAGCAGATTTCAGCTGCTTTGTAATTCAGTATTTCCCACTTAGATTTAGGGCCAGATTAGGTTTCAAACATATCAAAACTCCAGTAATTGTTTTCTTCAGATTTTTATCACAAATTCGTAGGAATCTTCAGATTTTTATTCCTCTACAATTCCCAGCATATCAAGTTAAAGACTCTAAAACATTGACCTCCCCATACAGATGCTGTTACTGAATGGATCAATGTCAAAATCAGGGATTCTCCTTTTTTCTGCTCTTCTGCCAGATGAACAATGGTGACCTGGGATGCAGGGGCTGAGCTGTGGAAAATACCTGCCTGTTGCATCAAAACTGAAAGCATCTGGAGATTTTGGTGTCTACACTCAAAGCTTCCTGAAAATGTTTTGCAGTAGAAGACAGAAAATGTAACCAAAGCCAATGGGGAAAGCAAGAAGAGAGAGGAGATGATGATACAATGGAAAGAGGAGGCGCAAACTTCCTGCTGTTTCTCTGTGAAGGGGCTCTTACCTCATTTGTTGTGCTGCCTTGCCCTCAGAAAGTCCAGCTCCAAATCATCTCTCAACTCTGGGAAATCCCAGAGGTGTAAACAGCTACCTGAGGGTGCCTTTGCAGACGAAGCAGCAGCCCTGGAGGGAGCACAGTGATGGATCCTCAGCACGTGCCTGCAGGTGCAGCTCCTCCTGAGCTTCCCTCGCCAGCCACAGCCTCCACCAGGGCTGGGCTCAGCTGGTGGCCTCAAGGACCTGGTCCCAGAGGAGCTGCAGCCTGGCTTTTCTGCTGGGCTGGGAAGCAACATCCATGGCAAGGTCTCCAGCAGCAAAAGGAGGCTGCAGGGAGCCTTTGTGGGATGGCAGAGAGCGGTGTGCTCTGAGGAGGGTGTGAGAAGAGCCACAGTGACTCTGAGGTGCACATCTGTTCTGAAATACACAACATCTGGTTCTGGAGGTAGCATGTGGAGGCTGCCAGGCAGGGACCTGGCTGGAGACATGCCATGGTCAATGACCATAGGGCAAATTTCGGGAGAGAGACCCTCCATGCCAAGTATCTGCACAGGACTTCCCCAGAGGTGTCCCCTGTGCCCTGGCTGGGTCCCTGGCAGCAGGGACACCCTGTGACAGCAGGTCCTGCTCACCCTGGGATGGATACCTGGGCTGTGGGACTCTGCTTGCTCCCTGCCAGGCCCAGGAAGTGTCTTTATGCTAACATGGACACAAGAAAGCCTAGACCCAGCTTTGAAGTTGAACCTCACTCCTCCAATCCCACTGGGCTCAGTCAAGGGCGAGTCTCCTCAATGAGATGGCTGCAAACTGGGTGGACAGGGCTTCTCTACCCTGTCTGAGGGGAGATCCCATTTTGGCTCATCCAGGGCTGCAGAGGCAAGGAGCAGGTCCCCACAGGTGGGAAGAGGATCCCCCCAGTGCCCCATGGAAAGGGCCTTGCCTGCTGTGCAGTGCGGGGAGGTGCAGCCGTGCTGGGCTCGCTGGAGCCGTGCAAACGGGTGGAGCTGGGCTGCACTCCTGTAGCGCAGCACCTGCTGCACACAGGGCAGGAGCGTGTTTTGCACAAAAGAAGAACCCACTTCCTTTGTTCTGCACTGCAAAAAGAAAAATAAAATCAGGTGGAGAGCATTGCTTTCCCTCTGTCTTATTCCCAAGGCCCTGGGCACAGTTGTCACCCTGGACATGGCTGTCACTCAGAACTTTGGGCTCTTCCATCCGTTTTTGAGGTTGGTCATGCCACTTGGTCATCATCCTCCTCCTCTGGGGGAGGAGGGGCTGAGACCCCACCGACCCTCCTGTATCCAGACCCCTTTACACAGGGCCGGTGCTTCCCGCTGCCGTGGGCTCCATGGGAAGCCCCCATGCCCAGGCAAGTGGCAGCTCTGGGCCATCAGCACATGATTCCCCTCCTGGGATCTGCAGCTCTCCTTTTAGAGCCTGGCGAGCCCAGGGGACAGGAGGGGCTGTACAAAGGGCCTGTTTGACTGCTCGGAAAAGTCCCGGGCGTGAATTTGCATCACAAACCTCCCCGTCCATCCCTGCCACGCACTGGTGATGCCGGCCGGTCCGAGGCGCTGCGGGCCCCTGGGTGGAAGGCAGCAGCATTTTGCTGAGCTTCATCCAAATGTATTTCCTCGACGGTGTTAATTTGTGGAGATAAAACTCTCGTGGAGGAGACCGTAGTGAGGGTGGGCAGGAGCTTTGCAGCGGCGGTGCTGCAGTGAGCCCCGGATCGATGGGAGCAGTGTTTGTTTGTCTCAGCTGCAGCTGTTTGTCCTGCTTGTCAGGGCTTTGGGGAGGGGAAGGGACGGTCCTGGGTCCACCCGCTGGGGTGGGCTCAGCATTTCTGTCGATGTAACAGCTCTCTAATGTTAAATCCATTGGCTGTTTCACTGTCACGATGAAACAGCTCAAGAACATTCGAGCCCATGCAAGTCTGATTAGCTTAACTAACTCTTGACAGATGTGCAAGTAGAAAACCCCTGTTTTACTAGGGAATATTTTTAATAATTTACTCAGCAGTTATTCTGTTATTAGCTGACCTTTCCCTCTGTGTAATATAAACCCTCGAGCAACAAAAGAATCTCCATTAACAGATAAACTTGTTAGCCAATTTTCACTATTACTCTTGCTGGGTACCTTCAATTTCTAGTAAATTCATGACCATAATGTGTAATTTCCATACAAATGACTCACAGTACATGAGTACACAGATTAGTACTGAGTTTAATGTCAATGTTTTAAAACATTAGAAATATTATGCAATTAAATAATTAGTGGAGCTTTACTGACCCAGAGGGAAATATGGAAGTTTAGCTTGACTGTAATCTTAACCTTTGTATTTCTTGGCTTCAGTTTTTCAGTAGCATCCTGAATACCCCATGATGGGAATTTCCTGGTTTATTAGGAATTTTTTTGAGGGATAAAACCAGACACTAGCAAGATCATCACCACCACCACAAAAAAACCCCAAACTCTAGAACCATTTAAAAAAGCATAAAAATTCCTCTTGGGATTTGAAAACCCTAGTGGCCTCCAGTAAAAAAGCCACCATGGGGAAGGCCATCCTGCTGGCCACAGGGCAGGCTGCACTTCTGCAAACATTTGGGAAGTGCTGGGAAGGAAAGTGCTCTCTCCATGCTGTAAGACACACACATACAGGGCTGAGGCATAAATGACAGCCCTGCACTGCTCAGCACTCTGTGGGGACAGAGCCCGCCATGAGAGTTCCAGCTGGGACAAGGGGCTTTGCCCCACTTCCACAGCACAATGTGTCATATTAATAACAAAAATAATTTTCCACTAAGGGCAAATCCTTTCATTCAACTCAGTCTCTGCGCTAAGGAGCCGTGCCTGGTGATGTCTATGTGTGTATGAGAGGCAAATCTGGGTTTCACCATAGCCACAGCATGGCTTGCACTGGCCACAGGCACAATAAGCTCCTTTGAAGATTTGCCACAATTTATTGTAAAAGCTGCCGCGGTCTGATCGTGCTGCTGTGGCCATGTGCATGTGCCCGGGCTGAGCACTCCGGACCGCACGTGAACCAGAGCTGAGGTGTTTTCGACGTTCAGTTGCATTTTGCATCCTTGTAGAAGTTTTCAGAGTAAAACCCCAAGTCGGCTCAGATGCCGGGAGCGATTGCCGCGCAGGTACAGTCATTTATCTTCTCCAGAACAGCCACTGCTGAGAATATCCCCCGCGGCGACAGCGTGCCTCTCACATACCGAAAGAGAAAAAAAAAAAAGCCCCACCCAGAAAGAATACAGTTTTACTAACCCTAAGGAAAAAAAACCCCAACAAAAAACAACAAACAAAAAACCCCAAATCTCACGGTGCTTTTATAATGTGAGCGAATCCCGGGAGACGCTCACACTACCGGGGAGCCCCAGTGCCGGACGCGGGCAGGAGGCTCCGCGCTCGCTGCCCCCCAAAAGTCGGGCGGGAGGAGGAGCAGGAGGAGGAAGAGAAGAAGGCGGCGGCACCGTGGCACTCAGGTTGGAGCCCCTGACCTCCCTTTCGTGCTTGTGGGTTTGAGCATCCCAGCCCCTCGGGGTCCGCGCCGCCGGGGGAGAGAAGAGGCAGCGCTGCGCCCGTCCCGTCCCGTCCCGTCCCGTCCCGTCCCGTCCGGTCCGGTCCCGTCCCGTCCCGTCCCGTCCCGTCCTGTCCCATCCCGTCCCCTTCCATCCCATCCCGTCCCGTCCCGTCCCGTCCCGGTCCCGGCGGTGCTCGCGGCGGGCGGCAGACGCGTCCCGGGAGCTGCTGCAGCCCCGCAGCCGAGGGGACACCGCTGTCACCAGGCGTGAGCCCGGACCCCGTGCCCAAAGCGGGGAGAGCAGCGGGAGGGCGTGCGGGGAGCGGGGTTCGGTGCCGGGCTGTCCCCAGCTCCCTGATCGGACGAGCAAGGGTCACGGGATTTTTGGGGAAGGTTGCGGGGTTTTTTGGTGGAAAGCTAGGTTTTTTCCTCTCTTTGAATTTCTTCAGTTTTGTTGCTGCTTTGGTCCTGCCCGAGGGTTGTGAAAGCGATCCTCAGCACTTCTGCCTGCCGGTCCCCCAGCCCTCCCAGAGCCCGGCTCTCCAGTTCGTGGGCATTTTCTCAATGAAGCCCCCCATTCCCCTCGCAGTAACAAGTAAATGATATCATTGCCACCAGATGAGTTTGGGACCTTCCTTGTGCAACAGGCAATTCCCCCTCCCAGCACCTCCAGTCCTTTCTCATATTGATTGGACTTGTGAAGAAACAAAATTAAGAGTAGCTCGTGATAAGAAAAGAATGACTCACAGCTACTCTTGAGATGCTCTCACCAAAATCACAAGAGAAGCATTTTTCCAAATGACTCGAGCTGTGTGCTGCTGGGAGGGAGCAGGGGACAGGGCTTTTGCTTTGTGATGAGGGCCAGCTCTAAGAGTGCCGCTCCTATTATCAATAAGCTGCAAGTTTCACATCTGTTCTTATTCCAAGGGAGAGAGCAAGAGCTCGTGAGGCACCATGGAAATGGCTCCTGTGGAGGACGTGCTCCTGCCCACCAACCTCACCTCCAGCAACCAGAGCAGCTGCAATGTGCACAACCACCACTTCTCAACCAAAGTCACCTTCTCCCTTTTCTACACCATCCTTCTGGTGTTTGGTGCCTGTGGGAATGTCCTGGCCCTCTATATCACTTTCCAGCGCAGGAAGAAGAAACTCAACTCCACCAACCTCTACCTGGTGAACCTGGCACTCTCCGATGCCCTCTTCACCCTGGCGCTGCCGGGCAGGATCGCCTACTACATCCTGGAGTCTGACTGGCCCTTTGGGGACTGGTTCTGCCGGATCACAGCTTTCCTTTTCTATATGAACACCTACGTGAGCATCTACTTCATGACCTGCGTGAGCGTGGACCGCTACGTGGCCGTGGTGCGCACCCGGCACCCCGGCAGGATTCGGAAGATGAGCCGGGCCAGGGCCATCTGCGTCCTCATCTGGTCCTTGGTGTTCCTGCAGACGGCTCCGCTGCTCCTGCGGCCCATGACGCGCAGGATGGGAGACAAACTGACCTGCATGGAGTACTTCAACTTTGAGGAGATTCCCAATCTGCCCTACCTGCTCCTGGTGGCCTGCATGCTTGGCTTCTTCCTGCCTGTGGGAATCATCTTGGTGTGCTATGTGAGGATCAACCTTAAGCTCTGCCAGACGGCCAAGGAGAACCCGCTGACAGTGAAGAACGGGCACCACCACCGGGCCTTCACTGTCATCCTGGTGGTTCTGCTGGCTGTCCTGCTCTGCTTCAGCCCCTACCACCTCAACATTGTCCAGTTCATGGTCAGGAAGATCCTCTACCAGCCATCCTGCCGTGAGCAGCAAGCCTTCAAGATGTCCCTGCAAATCACGGTGGCGTTCATGAATCTCAACTGCTGCATCGACCCCATCATCTATTCCTTCGCCTTCCGGGGATACAAGAGGAGGCTGCTCCGCATCTTCAGGAACAGCGGCTCCCTGGCCACCTCCTCCACTGCCAAGACCCCCTCGGAGAGCAACAGCAACAGCCAGCAGCCTGGCTCCAGCTCTGTCTAGTAGCACCAGCCCCTCCCTTTGCCCTGGCCTGTGACTTATGGACCATCCCTGATGGCGGGAGGCAGAGTTGAGCTGCAGGACCAGCACTTTCAACAGGGCCCATGGCTCCCCTGCCTGGAGCCAGGGGCTCTCACAAAGCCAAGCTGACAGGGACAAAGCCCTGCCTGGCTCTGCATGCCTGGCTCTGTGTGCCTGGCTCTATGCTCAGCACTGCTGCACCTGCCAGCCTGGAGCACGGAGAGGCTCCTTTTCATCCCAGCCCCAGAGGGGCAGTTTGTGCAGCTGCCCTGCCTGGCACACCTGGCTGGAGGTGTCCCAGCACTGCACCCCTCTCCCATGCCTGTCTGCACCCCCTGTGGGGCTGGGGTGGGCTGGTAACCACTATGGATGTCTCTCTGCCCCCTTCCCTGCACTGCCCCTGGAGCACTACAGCAGCATCCCTGCAGGCTTTAGGGCAGGCAGCATGAGGAGATGGACTCAGGGCACTCCAGGGAAAGGCTGGGATGTTATTTGCATGCAGAAGATGGCCTACAGCTCCTTTTCCACACTGACAAACAGCAGCTCTGCTCTCTGCCTGCCCAGCATCCCGCTCCTGCACCAGGGCTCTGCGTGGGGCAAGCAGTAAGTGTGGGGAACGTGGGAGATGCTGGAAAAGCTCTCTCCTGAGCAAGAGGTGTGAGGATGTGAATTGTAGAGCTCCTGGATGTGCTGCTTCCTACATTCACCATTGGGGTGGCTGCTTCTTCCCCAGGGTGCCCTTCCTCGCACCTGACCGCACTGCAGTCACCCTGGGACCCACTGCCAGGAAGGGGATCCTGGGGATGGCCTGGATCCCAGCCCAGCTCTAAGGCTGCAAACCTGCCCTGGATGTTCTCATGGGACAAACCTTCCCATTAGTCCTTAGCAGAGAAATAGGAACAAGAACTGAGAGTGGCCTTTTGTGACCTTGACCGGCCTAGAAGCTCGTGCCCTGAGGAGTCTGACAGCCCTTCTATGGGAGTTTACTTCTGACTATTGCCAGAGCAAGAGAAGGAACCCTGGGACATCACGTTCCTGTGCCTCTCAGATGAGGAGAAAGTTGGCAGCAGCCTCCTCAGCTCTTTGCTGAAATCACTAGACTATGATAAAAAACCCACACATAGGATTTCACAGTTCCTGGCATGTCTAGTCTTTTCTTTGAAGTTGGAAGGGACAGACAAACACACAGACATGAAAAGGAAAAAAAAAGCTACTTGTTTTACTGAAAAGTATACCTGAAAATGTTTCATGAAGAGACACTTGATTAATACAAATCATTCTTTAAGGTAATAACCTTTTTTATGCCTAGAAGGTTAATAATAGTCACATGCAGCCCTTCATTGTTTTAAATGCACATGAATGAGCTTTTGGACAGCAATGGTTTACTTATGGTATGGGTCTGAAGGCTGAAGGCATGCTGAAGGCTGACTAAGAGGGCTGCCTAAAACAAGTCAGGTAGGAAACAGACTCCAGTAGGTCCTTTCTGGAGGCTGAGCCCTCCTCAAAGCAGGTTTAACCTCAGTGCTGACCTGCAGAGGGCCTTTGTCCTGAAAAGCACATTACAATGGACAAGAAAGAGCTGGGATGCAATAATATCAGGATGTCAGTGGTCTGAACACCCTTGAAGGAGTCTGGCTAGGTTGGTAGTTGCTGTACAATTACATTGCCCTATTAATGTGTCTGGGAAGTGATGGCTGGACAGGAATCTCTGCATCACCTCATCCAGCAGCCCACCCAAAGCAGGACTATGGCTGGCACAATGTCAGGCTGGACATGGCTTCATGCAGACAAGGCTTGGAAACTCCAAGCAAGGAGGGTCCCCTCGCTGAGGTGACAGTTCCCACTCTGCATTGCTCTCTGGACAAAACCATTTTTCCCACTGTCGTGTCTGAACTTCCCCATCCACATGTGGTGGCTGTTGCCCCTAACATCACCTACTCATGCTATGAAGAGCTTGGCTTTGCCATCTTTGTAACACAAATTCCACAGGACTGTGTTGGGGGCTGCCAGTGGTTTGTAGTTGTTGGTTTCCATGTGAGCACCAGAGCAGCGGCCAACCCTCCTACTTGAGGTCAAGACATTGAGATGTTTTGCCAAGCTGCAGCCCACAGCTGAGAAGAAGCCAATCTATGACCAATCCTTCTCAGGAGAAGGTGGAGTATAAACATAGCCTCATTTGCTCCTTATTGGACTCTGCTTTTCTCAGAAGTACTTTATTAAGAAAGGCACCTCCACCTCTTGCCACCAGTAGGAGCCTTTGGAGTAGGAAACAGCTGAAGAGTTGGGTGTAGTGATGCACAATACAGGAGGGATCCGGCCTTCCTCCTCTGGATGGACACCAGCCTCGGCTACTTTGCTTTTGAAAGTACCAATCTGGGGACAGCAGGCAACTAGCTGAAGCTGAGGGAACATCCATGAGATGGAGAAGGAAAGGACTTGGGCAGAGTGGGTCAAGAGGAATCGGGGCATAGAAGAACTCTAAAGAACCCTCTATTGCCCAGACTAGCTTACCCACCTGTGGGTGCTCCCTGTCTGCTTGCAAAAGGAGCATTTCTCTAAAACTGAAGAGAAACCATACATATTTTGTCCATAGCATTTTGTCTAGAGGCACAGTAACATTTTCCTACCCTTTGCTGTTCACCTGTTCAGTCCAAGCTCCTTGCATGGTTCTTGCTGTATGCTGCTAGCCCAGTGCTGCCACGCTCAGACCCACCAGCGATGCCTTGGAATCACAAAAACGCATTAGCACAGAATCTCATTTAGGTTGGAAAAGACCTCTGAGATCATTGGGACCAGCCATTAACCCAGCCCTGCCAAGGCCACCGCTAAACCATGTCCACAAGTGCAGCACCTGCCTGTCTTTTAAAACAACCCTCCACGGGCTCCGCCCGGCCGCTGCTCCTGCCGTGCCCCGGCTCCCCCGGCTGGGGGTACCCGTGGCGGAGGGAGCCCGACCGTGCCTCCGGGCGAGAGCAGCAGCGCCGGTTCCCTCCAAAAGAGGGAGTCGGAACCTTTGCTCGGTGTTAGAAATACGCCCACGGGTCTAAGCAGACGGTGACAGACGGGGCTGTGCTTCCCCCACGCGTCTGGGCCGCGCAGGGATGCGGCGCCGTTCGTGAGCCGGGCGCTGGTGGCGGCTACGGGAGGCACCCGGCAGCACACGGGGATCGAAGGCGTTCCGTGCAGAGAGGTGTAACTGCACAGTACACAGGTAATTCCTGCTTTTCTGCAGCCTATTGGTGCTGTACTGTCTTCTAAGAGAAGATTGCACTTTTATCTGAGGGCAGAGAGTACCCTTTGTGGACACACACGCAACAATAGATAATACACACACAGATATAGGATATAGAATATACTGTCTGCATTAGATGAATATCCTGGGCTGCATCAAAAGCAGCATGACCAGCAGGTCAAATTAGATGATTTTTTCCCTATATTCAACTTAGGTGCAATCCCACCTGGAATACTGCATCTGGGGTCCCCAGAACAGGAACAACATGGACCTGTTGGAGTCCAGAAGAGGGCCACCAAGATAATCCAGGTTGTGGAGCACCTCTCCTTTGATGACAGGATGAGACCCTTGGGATTGTTCAGCCTGGAGAAGGATTCAGGGACACCTTAGAGCACTGAAAATCTAAGTAGCTAAAGCTTCCAAGGCAGCTGGAGAGGGACTTTTGACAAGGGCCTGTTTTGACAAGAGCCTCTAATGACAGGACAAGGGGGAATGTCTTCAAAAAGAGGGCAGGTTTAGATGAGATATTAAGACAAAGTTCTTTACATGGGGGTGGTGAGACACTGGAACAGGTTGCCAAGAGAAGCTGTGGATAACCCATGCCTGAAGTGTTCAAGGGCTGGGTTTGATGGAGCTTTGAGCAACCTGGTCTAGTGAAAGGTGTCTCTGCCCTTGGCAGGGGGGCTGGAGAGAGCTCAAACAGAACAGCTTTTTTCCCTTAGCAGTGGTTCCCAATTTACACACCTCTTCAGTCTGTGCTTTAAATTGTCCTGAACTGAAACTATTGCATGTTATACATAATATCTACAAGCCATCTTTGTAAGCCAGTAAAATATTGTGATGTAATTATGTACAAATCTACTAAAAATAAAAGCTTCTCATGGCCAAGTAACAAGCCCTGGTGTGATTGATCAGGCTAGGAGATGTGGGCAACTGTTTTCTCCTAGAGGTGCACCTGTGCCTCTGCCCTGCCCCCAGGCAAATGCCCAGAAGCAGTGAGGGGCAAGCACTAGCTCTCAATCCACTTCCCTTACACAGATGCTGTGCCCTCGTGGGACAGGGAATTATAAATCACCTTCCATGGGAAAAGCTGCAGGACCTGCGAGGAGCTGTGTCCTTTTTGGAGGAGGTCTCTCCACAGCTGGGATGGAGAGGTGCCAGGAGAAGTCAGGTTGGCAGGGCTACCTGCTTTGGAAGCCAGAACCATCTGCATTCTCACATACGACTGGCTCCAGGGTTTGCTGCACTGCCCAGCTGCTGGGATTACACTGCTTTCTCACTTGCCACATGTACCACCTCCTGCAAAACTGACCAAATACAATGTGAGGATTCCTCTATCAGACACCCCTAAAAAAAAAAAAGAGTGGGTTTTCAGTACGAGATTAGCCACAACCTTGCATATTTTTATTTTCCACATGACATCCTGCTAATTCTTTTAAAACTGAACTAAGTGCAATGCAACACTCTGTCCCTTTTCTCTCAGCAGGTCTTCACTTTCTGTCCTCAGTTCTCCTTTGCTCCTCTTTCCTAAACTCTCTCTCTTTGCTCAGTTCTCACCTGCCTCATCTCTCTCCTTTCCTTTGCTAATCTTCCATGACACTTATGGTCCCTACCTATCCTCAGTCAAAAGGTTGGATCCTGCAATTTTTCACTCATTTTTGATGTATATTCCTGCTTTCTCCACTGCATCCATTCAGGTGTAGAAACAGCCTCCTACAAACAGGTATGAGTCAAACTAACTTCTCCTTCCTCTTAAAACTCTCCTTTGGAAAACAAAGATGAC